CACATGGCCATTTCGCCATGAAGTGGACATAGAAGGGTTTTCTACAATCGCAGTACGATCATTCCATCCAGCTGCGGCCGTCTGTTACGATGAGTCGCGGAAGGCCTGTTGCCGAATGCTGCTCATCTGTCATTTTGTTCTAGCATTTGCTCAATTGGCAGGTTCAACCGCAGTCCCTGAGTGGATGGAGACGGTCTGTGAAAACAGCTCCACGGAATACTGGTTAGTTCCCAGCTTTCTTACTGCAAGGATACAGTCTAACCTTTTAGTACATCCCGACGTAATAGTTCGAGTAACCTCGTTAGTTTGACGAAGACGCCTGTTATCTTGAGCATTCTACGAAGGATGATGGGACTTAAGCGCAACCGAGCGGTCTATCCACGCTCTGAAGGCAGACTTGCTGAACATCAACGCCAACAAGTTAACGCGCTGCTGAGACAACTGTTTGCCTCAAGCTACAATGGAGGGTCCCAAGACATCACAAAGCTCTGTCTTTTATGGAGAGAATACAAGTATTACCAGCAATCCACGCAGCAAGACATACTCAACCGACTTATAGAGCTTGGAAGCCAGCAAAACTTGTACCAGGGCCAGGGGGCCGTCTCAGCGTCTTCGCCCGCTCGCAAAAGCTACGGCGTTGGGTTTGCAGATGATGAAGACGATGACGACCTCGAGAGACAGTTGGCTTCTTTGAACATTTACGAAAACAGATCATCAGTTGACGATGAGATTGTGACTCTTGCACGACTGCGAACGCGACTTTCTCATCATAAAAGCCTCGTTCAAAGAATCGAAAACGCCGTAACTGAAGTGTCATCTCACGTTCAGCTGAGCATCAAGCTTCAAATTGCCATTTTTAGCCACGATAGAGTCGATCTCTCAAAGATCATTGTGGAGCAAGCTAAAGACATGTATCGTTACCTGGAAGAGGTAACAGCACATATCATGGCAACACCGGCAGTTCTAGCGGGAGAAGAAGGCCTAKTTCATAACGAAGAACAGCCAGAAAGATCCTTGGCCCAGCGTCCCGATGCTCGCAGTATCGTGGACTCTGTTATCCTGGAAGTTGAAATATTATCAAACCGGGCATTTCGCTGCATCATGCTTTTTTCAGCATTGATCGCCCAAGGGAGGATTAT